TTGTCTCCATCATTGGAACCAATGCTTTTGCCCTTGCTTTGACGATTGTGGCATTAAAAGACTCAGTGGCATTGTTGTCTACATCCTCACAACAACTGCCTATCTTGAAAAAAGGTCTACACCAAGTCTTTGGTTCCTCCTTCATCACATCCTCATACAAAGACATGTTGTATGCTCTCATCTCATTCAAATTATTTTGATAGTCAGCATGGTTGTAGCTCCAAGCTAAGTTCCACACCAACTTCTTCAATAAGTCTTTATTTGCATGTCTCTTTTTCAGGTTCTCAACGATATGTTTGACACACGGTCTGTGCTCAACTTTTGGTAATGCACTTTTAACTGCACTTATGATTCCCTTCAAAAACCAAACAAAAAAGTCGCATTATTATACTAGTAAAAAGTCAGTTAAAACTTTACCACTTTATTATACAACCAAAAAAGAAATACCTTGCAGCGATCTGATAAAATAACATAATTACTCCCATCTTTTAAATTCAAGTCAACACTAAGCTGATTTAGAAACCAAAGCCAGTTGTCTGCAGTCTCAGCTTGAACACATGCCCAAGCAACTGGGTAAATCTGGTTATTTGCATCATGACCAATAGCAGTCAATAAACAACCTTTAACCGCATGCTTCAAGAAGGTTCCATCAATTCCAATGATTGGCCTACAATAGTAAAATGCATTCTTCATTGCTCCAAGACATACATAAATTCGGTTGAACACATCTTCTCCAGCCGCATTAGAAGTGGTGTCAACAAAAGCAGTTGATCCCTTGTTTGAGTTCATAATTTCAGCAACATAACCTCGGAGGTGAGAAAATTGTTTGCCATATTCTTCTTTTAGCCACTTTAATGCTAGAATTCTTCCTCTTTGAACTTGTCCAATAGTGCTCACTATTTTCCATTGCTCCTTAATATGCCGCTGAATTTTAAGAGGCATAAAATTAGGCTTCAATCTCAGCTTGTCCATGAATAACCTTCCAATCACTGGACTCTTAAGCAACTTGCATTTTCCATTAGAAGTGCAACTATGATCAGTGCATATAGTCTTCAAAACCCATAGTTGTTTTGACTCTTCATATGAGCAGTAGACATACCAACCACAACCCTTCTTATGAGCACACCTAAAGCTGATTTTGTTCTTCTCCCACCTATCTTGTCTAAGATTTTCTCTATTCTTCAATGCATAATGCAAAACAGTCTCTTTGAACTCAAAACCAGTCATGAAAGTTCGACCAATAACCAATTTATCATTTGTTCCCAACCTAATCTTCCTATCCCTAGTAATTACCGGATCCTCGTCTTCATCCGAGCTATCAGGAATATTATTACGACGAATCTGGAACTCATCGTACCAGTCTGCTACAGCTTCCTCTACCTCATACTCAAACCTTTCCATTATGTCTTCTTCATCTTCTTCTTTGGATCTCCTTCTGTTTTTCTTATCCTGAACATCTCCAGCGTCTTCTTGATCGGCTTCTCCATCATCTTCTCCCAAATATTTGTTTCTACTCCTCTTTCTTAGTCTTACCGGATTAGATTTAAGTTCACCATCATCGTCTCTATCATTCTCCATGTTTCCCTCGTCATCTCCACGTTCTCTATTGTTCTTCTCTATCATTCTGATCTTGCAAGGCACTTTCTCTATCATTCTTCTTTAACTTGGAATCAAAATTGTTGATTTTGGTTCAACAAACCTAAAATCCCCAATTCTCGATTTGAGAAACCTAACTTCATTCAAAAACCAATAAGCGACGTCAAAACCCTTTTTGTTTTAAAAGAAGAAAATTGACAAAACGATAGCGATACAATAAACGCTATTTTATGGTTAAAAACGGTTTAGACATCATAAATCCTAAATTGATTAGATATGTAGTTTTATGCACCAAAAAAATAATTTGTGTAGTTTTGTGAAGAAAATAGTTTTTGATGGTGGTATTTTAAGAGACAAAAGGTTTGTGTAGGAAAGCTGAGAATGCTACAAGTAGAGGGGGAAAAAAACCGTCAACCCTACTATAGTAAAAGAGAAGTACACAAGGGATTCGGGTCGGGTTTTTCAAAAAATTCCGGGTTAAATTTTCAATCGGATACTTGCCAAATTTTTTGTTAAATATTTTTCAAATATTTCAATAATATACACCAGATTCCTATCATTTAGGAAACTATATTAATGCTAAATAAAAAATATGTCTTATAAGGAAAATTTGTTTATGAATATAAAGATTTCAATCTTTTAAAAATATTCTAATTATTATATTAATTTCTTATATGAAAAAACAAAAAAAATTATAATTTTTTATAAGTTTAAATATTTGATATGTAGAAAAATATAATTTAAAAATATTTGGTATAACAAATATAAAAATGCATCTAAAATACATAAATAATGGTAATATAATCAATAAAATGTTAATTAGTTTGAATTAGTTAAATGTTTCGAAAAATAAAATTTGAATATATATGGCTATAAAAACGAAAGATTTTATTAAAGATTTTATAAAAAACGAAAGATTTTATATATATTAAATCTTTGTTATTATTTTTTATATTTCCTAATATGTTAAATGAAAGATTTTAATCAGAATAAAAAAATTGTATATGAAAAGAGTTTTCAAAAGTATTCCAATCTTTATCAATTTAAATTACCTATAAAAAAAAAAGAGAATTTTTGAGAAATACCCCTTTTGGTGTACCCCATTTTAAAAATACCCCTTTTATCTATCCATTTTCAAAAATACCCTTTTTTAAATATAAAAAATTATAAAGTTTTATATAAGGTACTTCTATATAATAACTACTACTGGGAGATTCGATACAAATATTTTAAAATGTTTTAAATAGTTTTAAATCGTTTTTATAAGTTTTATAAGGTTTTTAAAAGGGTTTATACGGTTTTTATAAGGTTTTTATAAGGTTTTAAAAAATTATTTTTACGCTATTTATGAAAGGTATATAAACTTTTAAACACATATAAAGGTAATTTGTGTATATATTTATAAGCTTACACACATATTTGGATAAATTTCATTATTTTTAGTGGGTTTTTTTATAAAGTTTGAAAAGGGGTATTTTTAAAAAGAGGTATATGAAAAGGGGTATTTTTGAAATTCCCCCAAAAAAGAATAATATTTTATCAATAGCATAATTAATGCAAAATTATAGAGATCCATATATATCTAGAAATGGTTATATTTGAATTTTGAAAAAAAAGAAATTTGACAATCATTAATATATTTCAGTGAGTAATACGAAGTATTTTTGGATACAAAAAAATAATTAAAATTTTAGGATAATTATTATAATTAACTAACAATACTTTAATAACAATATTTTATCTTTGTAATTATTAATCATCGAATCACTACTAATACAAAATCAGTCATAAAGAATATATTTCATAAGTTAGTTTAAATAAATTACCTTAAATTCTGAATTTTCCTTATAATGTTCTAAATATTTTAATATGTGAATAACAAGAATATTATGGTCTCTTATTCAATATGAAGTATATTAATATTTTTATTTTATTTTTATAGGATACAAGTATATACAAATATTTCAAACTCATATGTTCTTGTGTGATACATGTATATACATGATTTTCAATATCATATATTTTCATGATTTTTTTTTAAAATACACGGGTTTTTGATTGGTTCGTTACCACATACATTGTGAGTATACAATTTGTTTAATAAACGTTCTTTTATTTAGTTTATAAAAATATTATATTTAATTTCCGAAAACACACTTTTCTCAAAGAATTGAAACCAAATATACATTTCGAAATAATAATTGTTGATACTAAAATGAACGAAATAATAACACATACGACAAAACACGTTAAAATAAAATAAACCTGAAAATATTCTTTTGCGCTGTAGCGCGGATCTGAACCTAGCATACGTGACAAAGTACACATCCACGATAATACATATTCTCATCTTCCCAAATTCAACACCAACAATCCATTTTAATAGTTAAAAGTTTACGTAATACGGAAAAAAACAAAAAAGACCGACACTTTTCCCCCGCGCTGTAGCGCGGGTCCGGGCCTAGTTTATTTGGTAAAGAATATATCAAAAAATCAAGCCACCACTTGTGTTTGTTTGGGTCTAAGGAGTTGCTTCCTTGATTGAAACTACTAAGGCCCAGTTCAATTTCACGTAAAACTACAAGACAATGGCCCATAATGAATTTGTCAGTATCGAATATATAATATTCGATGTGATTCGTAACAATGATCCGACCTTAGCTCAGTTGGTAGAGCGGAAGACTGTAGTAGTTGCTGTAATCTTTAGGTCGCTGGTTCGATTCCGGCAGGTCGGATTTTTTAATTAAATATTTTCGAAGATTGTTTTCTGTATAGAAAGCAATATTGCAAATGATATGAAAATAATCTTTTTAAGATACTCAAATCTTTTTTTTTTTTTTTTTGTCATCAATTCTCAAATCTTTTTCAATGGGATAATCCCTTTAACGGTGAGTGAGTCCACGTGCATTCGTAAGCGAAGGTTGGAATCATATTTTCTGTTGTCAAGTTTTTAAAAGAAAAGTGGATAATGTCTCTACTTTTTATTTGTATCTTTCTCGACTAGATATTTAATACGTTTTTGGTCACCAAACGCAATACTACTATTCAAAATCTAACAAGTCTAGATTCAATAGCTAAACACAACAGTCAACAAACAAAGAAGCGTATACATACTTTGACTACTAAAAAGGAAGCAAAGTCTCAAATACACATGCAAAATATAAAACAAAGGGTACAATCCAAAAAACGAAACAAATAACCAACGACAAAGCAAAGATATTTTCACGAACACGACTAAACTCAATCCCAAACTCTTTAATATGAACAAAACCAACCAAACCACAAAGCAAAGTCACACTAGTGTAACAAATACTTTGCTCCGACCCATATTAAAATGAACATAATTAAACCTTGTAACAAATACTTTTGTTAAAAACCAAAATCACACTAACTAATACTCGCATTAAACTTCTTAATACCAATTTTTACTGACATATGCTTAAAAGAGAAGAATCCAAGTTTAGTTTTGTGCCGTAGAAAAAAAACATTTTGTGGTATAGCCGAATGAAGTAAGGTGTAACACGCGTCGAGACGAAGAGACAGACACTCCAAGAAACAGAAGAGAGACACGTGCAGAACACGTGTCGGAAGAAGCCGTACCGATTCTTTGCCTCTGATCATGGGCCTGGACTTGGACCTCTTTCTAAGTTCGCATCTCTCATTGGTCGGAAGATAAAAAATTTGGAACAGAACAAATATTGACCTTCATGCCTCTCTCTTCGTGGGTTCCATTCTCCACTACCTTGTCACCGTGAACGTCAAAAATAAGTACTCTCTTTTACCGCTCTCTCTCTCCCTCTCACCCATTTCATCTCTCTCTGTCTCCCTCAAAAAGCTTTTCCAGTCAAAAACTCCCCGGTGGCATTAAAGCTATGTGAAGGAGGTGAAACTCTGTAGGATAAGAAGCAATTCTCTCTGTTTTTCTCCGGCGGCCGAGGAACATAAAAGCCACTGGTTTTTGGACTCACAGGTTTCGTTTATTTTCAGGTTCTCACTTTCTTGAAATCTATATTTATGTTCTCAAGATCTGTTCTAAGAGGACTTTATTTCGTGGTATGTATATAGTCAAGTAAGTTATGTTTTAGATAGCTTAAAATTAAAACACATATAGTATTTAAGCATATTAGTTTAGGTATTCGGTGGATTTATTTTAGGGATGACCCAAGCTAATAAAGTATCTTATTGGTGTTATTAAAATTGAATTTCTAATTCTAATTATCTTGTGTTGATAAGTTTGGCTTGAGTGGGGGTATGATATATTTTCCTCTTTTGGAAACGAAAACTTTATTGAAATGAGTAATTATTAGTTTGTTTATTGCTATTTTTAGTATCGTTTGTCGCTGTCACGATGTGGACCGTTCTTACTTTATTTTCACGTGGACCGACTTCATTTCTTTTTTTCTTTCATATGGTTTATGTGATCTGTAAATCCCATTACTTTACCAAAACAATATAATCTCGTAATACAAGTGAGCTTCATGGATAAAGTATCTAAGTGTTATTGTCAAAGTTTTGGTCAAAGTAATACGAAGAATTTAATCTATAAGAGACAAATTTGTTTATATTGTCGTCTACGTGAATACCAAATGCTAAATTAATGGTCATATATTGTTGTGTCTATATGCAGTTGGTTAAATGGTACTTAGAGAAACAAAGATGATGTCAGAGCGAGAAGTGGAGTCGTCGACGGCGCAGGGAAGACCAAACGGAGGAGGAGGTGAGAGTCATCATCCGTTCTCTTCATTGGGAAGACAATCCTCTATCTACTCATTGACCCTCGACGAGTTCCAACATGCTCTCTGTGAGAACGGCAAGAACTTCGGGTCTATGAACATGGACGAGTTCCTTGTCTCTATTTGGAACGCTGAGGAGAATAATAACAATCAGCAAACAGCTTCTCATTCTGTCCCGCCTAATCACAATGGTTTCAACAATAACAACAATGGAGGCGAGAGCGGTGTTGGTGCCTTTGGCGGCGGTTCGACGGCCCACGAAGGGGCTAATAGTAGTAAGAGAGGGATAGCGAAGCAGCCGAGTCTTCCTCGGCAAGGCTCGTTGACGCTTCCAGCTCCGCTTTGTAGGAAGACTGTTGATGAGGTTTGGTCTGAGATTCATAGAGGAGGAGGTGGTGGTTCTGCTGCTGGAGACAGCAATGGACGTAGCAGTAGTAGTAATGGTCAAAACAATTCTCAGAACGGCGGTGAGACTGCGGCTAGACAACCAACTTTTGGGGAGATGACACTTGAGGATTTCTTAGTGAAGGCTGGTGTGGTCAGAGAACATCCCACTAATCCAAAAGCTAATCCTAACCAAAACCAAAACCAAAACCAAAACCCGTCTAGTGTTATACCCGCAGCAGCACAGCAGCAACTCTATGGTGTGTTTCAAGGAGCTGGTGATCCTACTTTTCCAGGTCAGGGCATGGGTGTAGGTGACCCATCAGGTTATGGTAAAAGGACAGGAGGAGGAGGGTATCAGCAGGCTCCACCGGTTCAGCCAGGTGTTTGCTATGGAGGCGGTGGTGGGTTTGGAGCAGGGGGACAACAAATGGGGATGGTTGGACCGCTAAGCCCGGTATCTTCAGACGGATTAGGACATGGACAAGTAGATAACATAGGAGGCCAGTATGGAGTTGATATGGGAGGGCTAAGGGGAAGGAAGAGAGTAGCGGATGGTCCAGTGGAGAAAGTAGTGGAAAGAAGGCAGAGGAGGATGATCAAGAACCGCGAGTCTGCTGCAAGGTCTAGAGCAAGAAAACAAGTAAACATATACATTTCCATTCATTTAATGACATACTATGAATGTTTTTCGTAAAACAAAGCTAATGTTCTTGTTTTGTGTGTTTTGGTAAGGCTTATACAGTGGAATTGGAAGCTGAGCTAAACCAGTTGAAAGAAGAGAACGCACAGCTAAAACATGCATTGGTATTTATCTCATCACGTTAGGAGTTTATTCATTTTTTGTAAGGGATTGCAACACCTAATGTTTCTTATGTTTTCATCAGGCGGAGTTGGAGAGAAAGAGGAAGCAACAGGTACAAAAAGCTTATGAGTTTACATTTCTAAGATGGCTGCATTATTTTGGTCGGAAGAAAATTACAACACTCGCTGGTTTATTGGTTGCAGTATTTTGAGAGTTTGAAGACGAGGGCACAACCAAAATTGCCGAAACCGAACGGGAGATTGCGGACGCTGATGAGGAATCCGAGCTGTCCACTCTAAACGAACAATAGGAAGATGAAGTCGCCAAGACATAACAAGGAAATACTAGTGAATTTATAGGTTGTTGTTTTGTCTTGAGGAATGAGGTTATAGAATGGATCTTTACTTTGATGTTTTATGTGTTGTTAGGAGGAACACACCATCTGATCTTCTTGACTACTCTGTTCCTTGTGAACAAGAAAGTGATTCTGTGTTTCAACATAATCAATCTTTGGGAAATATAACGAGTGTTATGCTCACTAGATTTAGTTATCTGTTTCTATGCCAATCTTATATACTTAAGCGTCGTATTTTCTACAACCTCCTTCAATACATCCTCTGCACTACCTCAAATGTCTTTTTTAACTTTGGAATGACAATGTGCAAGAGAAGTAATACCCAGGTCTTAGGATACATCAACAGAGTTCAACAAGGGAAATTACTTGACCAAACTCTAGATCAATACAATAAAGTGCTTTTGGTACATTCAGTTACAACTAAAGAGAAACAGAGGCAAAAACAGAGCACGAAACTAAGGAGAGCTGAGAGTGAGTGAGAAAGAGAGCTAGGAAAAAAATCAAGTTAAAAAAACATGAATTTAAAAATTTTCATGTCCCGGAGTGTTTTTTTTTTTTTTTTGTACCCGCAGACCAACATGACATTGATGAAATTTAGAACATAAAGCATTATTATTTTTTTTAGTTTATTGG